GTCTTGATTTGGATACACTGAGGCCAACCATCCACCATCTGACACTCCGAACCCTTGGAGCACTGGACATCACTACAGCTGGGTCTCCTGATGGAAGTCTTCATGTGCAAACACTGAGGCCAACCATTCACCATCTGACACTGCGTTCCCTTCCGGCACTGAATATCATGACAGGAGGGCTGGTTCTGAATACATTGAGGATGTCCATCCACCATCTTACAGGAAGTTCCCTTAGGGCAGTGGATGTCCTTGCAAGAAGGCTGCCTTGTGGTCATCTTGGTTTGCACACATTGAGGCCAACCATCCACCATCTGACACTCTGAACCTTTGGAGCACTGGACATCAGTACAGCTGGGTCTCCTGATGGAAGTCTTGATTTGGATGCAGCGTGGCCAACCATCCACCATCTGACACTGCGTTCCCTTCTGACATTGGATATCATGACAGGAGGGCTGGTTCTGCACACAGTGAGGCCACCCATCTGTCATCCTACAAGATGTTCCTTTGGGACACTGCATGTCCTTGCAGGAAGGCTGCCTTGGGGCCACCTTGGCTTGGACACACTGCGGCCAACCATTGACCATCTGACACACTGAACCCTTGGAGCACTGGACATCACTGCAGCTGGGTCTCCTGATGGAAGTCTTGATTTGGACACACTGAGGCCAACCATCCACCATCTGACACTGCGTTCCCTTCTGGCACTGAATATCATGACAGGAGGGCTGGTTTTGAACACAGTGAGGCCACCCATCCATCATCCTACATGAGCTGCCTTTGGGACACTGCATGTCCTTGCAGGAAGGCTGCCTTGGGGCCAACATGGCTTGCAAACATTGAGGCCAACCATTGACCATCTGACACGCTGTTCCCTTGGAGCACTGAACATCACTGCAGCTGGGTCTCCTGATGGAAGTCTTCATCTGCACACAGCGTGGCCAACCATCCACCATCTGACACTGCGTTCCTTTCTGACATTGAATATCATGACAGGAGGGCTGGTTCTGCACACATTGGGGCCACCCATCCATCATCCTACAAGATGTTCCTTTGGGACAATGGATGTCCTTACAGGAAGGCTGCCTTGTGGCCATCTTGGCTTGGGCACACTGGGGCCAACCATTGACCATCTCACACACTGTCCCCTTGGAGCACTGGACATCACTACAGCTGGGTCTCCTGATGGAAGTCTTTGTTTGCACACACCGTGGCCAACCGTCCACCATGTGACATTGTGTTCCTTTCTGACATTGAATATCATGACAGGAGGGCTGGTTCTGCACACATTGGGGCCACCCATCCATCATCCTACACGAGGTGCCTTTGGGACATTGCATGTCCTTACAGGAAGGCTGCCTTGTGGCCACCTTGGCTTGCAAACATTGAGGCCAACCATTGACCATCTCACACACTGAACCCTTGGAGCACTGGACATCACTACAGCTGGGTCTCCTGATGGAAGTCTTGATTTGGACGCAGCGTGGCCAACCATCCACCATCTGACACTGCGTTCCCTTCTGACATTGGACATCATGACAGGAGGGCTGGTTCTGCACACATTGAGGCCACCCATCCATCATCCTACACGAGCTCCCTTTGGGACAATGGATATCATGGCAAGAAGGCTGCCTTGGGGCCATTTTGGTTTGCACACACTGGGGCCAACCATCCACCATCTGACACGTGGTTCCCTTGGAGCACTGCACATCACTACAGCTGGGCTGGTCATGGACACACTGAGGATGTCCATCCATCATCTTACACGAGGTCCCTTTAGGGCAGTGGATGTCACTGCAAGAAGGTTGCCTTGGTGATACTTTGATTTGGACACAGCGTGGCCAACCATCCACCATCTGACACGTGGTTCCCTTGGAGCACTGAATGTCACTGCAGCTGGGCTCGTTCTGAATGCACTGAGGATGTCCATCCATCATCCTACAAGTAGTTCCTTTGGGACAGTGGATGTCACTGCAGGAAGGTCTCCTTGGTGTCACCTTGATTTGGACGCAGCGTGGCCAACCATCCACCATCTGACACGTGGTTCCCTTATGGCACTGGATGTCACTGCAGCTGGGCTGGTCATGGACACACTGAGGATGTCCATCCACCATCTTACATGTGGTCCCTTTAGGACAATGAAGGTCACTGCAGGAAGGTCTCCTTGGTGTCAGCTTGATTTGGACGCAGCGTGGCCAACCATCCACCATCTGACACGTGGTTCCTTTATGACACTGGATGTCACTGCAGGTGGGCTGCTTTTGAACACACTGAGGATGTCCATCCATCATCCTACAAGTAGTTCCTTTGGAACATTGAATATCACTGCAGGAAGGCTGCCTCGGGGTCAGCTTGATTTGGACGCAGCGTGGCCAACCATCCACCATCTGACACGTGGTTCCTTTATGACACTGGATGTCACTGCAGCTGGGCTGGTTCTGAATACACTGAGGATGTCCATCCATCATCTTACACGAGGTCCCTTTGGGGCAATGAAGGTCACTGCAGGAAGGTTGCCTTGGGGTCAGCTTGATTTGGACGCAGCGTGGCCAACCATCCACCATCTGACACGTGGTTCCTTTATGACACTGGATGTCACTGCAGCTGGGCTGGTTTTGAACACACTGAGGATGTCCATCCACCATCTTACAAGAAGTTCCCTTAGGACAATGAAGGTCACTGCAGGAAGGTTGCCTTGGAGATACCTTTATTTGGACGCAGCGTGGCCAACCATCCACCATCTGACACGTGGTTCCCTTGGAGCACTGGATGTCACTGCAGGTGGGCTGGTTTTGAACACACTGAGGATGTCCATCCATCATCCTACAAGTAGTTCCTTTGGAACATTGAATATCACTGCAGGAAGGCTGCCTTGGGGTCAGCTTGATTTGGACACAGCGTGGCCAACCATCCACCATCTGACACGTGGTTCCTTTCTGGCACTGGATGTCACTGCAGCTGGGCTGGTCATGGACACACTGAGGATGTCCATCCATCATCTTACATGTGGTCCCTTTAGGACAGTGGATGTCACTGCAGGAAGGCTGCCTCGGGGTCAGCTTGATTTGGACGCAGTGTGGCCAACCATCCACCATCTGACACGTGGTTCCTTTCTGGCACTGGATGTCACTGCAGCTGGGCTGGTCATGGACACACTGAGGATGTCCATCCATCATCTTACACGAGGTCCCTTTAGGACAATGAAGGTCACTGCAGGAAGGCTTCCTTGGTGTCAACTTGATTTGGATGCAGCGTGGCCAACCATCCACCATCTGACACGTGGTTCCCTTATGGCACTGGATGTCACTGCAGCTTGGCTGGTCATGGACACACTGAGGATGTCCATCCACCATCTGACACGAGGTCCCTTTAGGACAATGAAGGTCACTGCAGGAAGGTCTCCTTGGTGTCAGCTTGATTTGGACGCAGCGTGGCCAACCATCCACCATCTGACACATGGTTCCTTTATGACACTGGATGTCACTGCAGCTGGGCTCGTTCTGAATGCACTGAGGATGTCCATCCATCATCTTACACGTGGTCCCTTTGGAACATTGAATATCACTGCAAGAAGGCTGCCTTGGGGTCATCTTGATTTGGACGCAGCGTGGCCAACCATCCACCATCTGACACGTGCTCCCCTTCTTGCACTGGATGTTGCTGCAGGAAAGCGGTTCGTGAGCACATTTTGGCCAACCGTTGACCATCTTGCACTCGGTGCCCGGGGAGCAGTGGATGTCCCCACACGACGGCACAGGGCCGACGCATTTGGGCCAACCCTCCAGCATTTTGCATACCATCCCCTTCTGGCAATGGATGTCGTCGCAGGACGGAGCTTTCTGGACATTCGGGACGTGGGGCGCCTTGGTGGGACCACACCAAGGCCAATCGTTGACCATGTGGCACACAGTCCCTTTCTGGCACTGGATGTCGTGGCAGGAGGGCGGGTTGTGGACGCAGTGGGGTTGGCCATCGGTCACCTTGCACGAAGTCCCTTTGGGACAGGGGAAATCCTGGCACGGTTGTCCTTGGGATGCTTTACTTTGGACGCACCGTGGCCAACCGTTGATTATTTGGCACTCCGTTCCTTTCTGGCACTGGATGGAGCTGCAGGAGGGTGTGGGGTGGACGCAGTGGGGCCAGCCATCTCTCATCTGGCATGTGGTCCTCTTGGGGCAGTGCACTCTGCAAGATGGCTGCGTTGGGGACGTCTTGCTTGGGACGCACCGTGGCGAACCTCCCTCCATCCTGCACTCCGTCCCCCTCTCACAGGGGACGTCGTTGCAAGAGAGAGGAGGCAATTCCCTCCGGAGGAGCAACTTGTGAACGCATTTGGGCCACCCTTCCACCATTTGGCAACGGGTCCCCTTCTGGCACCGAATATCCCGGCAGCTCGGCGAGGCGTGGACGCAGCGCGGCCAATCGTCCACCATCTTGCACCGCGTGCCCTCCCCGCAGCTGAGGTGACGGCACGAAGGTTTGGGGACGCAGCGTGGTTTCCCAGCCACCATCTGGCACCGAGTCCCTTCCTTGCAGGGGAACATCCGACACGACGGGATGGGGACGCACTGCGGCCACCCTCCCGCCATCCTGCATCGCGTTCCGGCCTTGCAGGGGAAATTCTTGCACGACGGCAACGGGACGCATTTGGGGACCCCGTCCACCATCTTGCATCGAGTTCCTGCTCCGCAACGGGTGTTTTTACAGGAAGGCAATGGGACGCACTGGGGCCACCCGCCCATCATCCTGCACGCCGTTCCCGTATTGCAGTGGAAGTTGTTGCAGGAAGGCAACGGGACGCATTTGGGGACCCCGTCCACCATCTTGCACCGAGTTCCTGCACCGCAACGGGAGCTTTTGCACGAAGGCAGAGGGATGCACTGGGGTGACCCATGCACCATCCTGCACTCTGTTCCTGCTTCACACTGGGTGTTCTTGCAGGAGGGCAGTGGGACGCATTGGGGTGACCCATGGACCATCCTGCATTCTGTTCCTGCTTCACAACGGGTGTTTTTGCACGATGGCAACGGGATGCACTTGGGCCATCCGTCCACCATCTTGCACTCTGTTCCAGCTTCACAACGGGTGTTTTTGCAGGAAGGCAGAGGGATGCATTGTGGAGACCCATGGACCATCTTGCACTCCGTTCCAGCTTCACACCGGGTGTTCTTGCATGAAGGCAGAGGGATGCACTGGGGTGAGCCTTGCACCATCCTGCATTCTGTTCCAACTCCACACCGGGTGTTCTTGCACGAAGGCAGTGGGATGCATTGCGGAGACCCATGCACCATCTTGCATTCTGTTCCTGCTTCACATTGGGTGTTCTTGCACGAAGGCAGAGGGATGCACTGGGGTGAGCCTTGGATCATCCTGCATTCTGTTCCTGCACCACACCGGGTGTTCTTGCACGAAGGCAATGCGATGCACTGGGGTGACCCATGGACCATCTTGCATTCTGTTCCTGCTTCACACCGGGTGTTCTTGCATGAAGGTAATGGGATGCACTGCGGTGAGCCTTGCACCATCCTGCACTCTGTTCCTGCTTCACACCGGGTGTTCTTGCATGAAGGTAATGGGATGCACTGCGGTGAGCCTTGCACCATCCTGCATTCTGTTCCTGCTTCACACCGGGTGTTCTTGCACGAAGGCAATGCAATGCACTGGGGTGACCCATGGACCATCCTGCATTCTGTTCCTGCTTCACAACGGGTGTTCTTGCATGAAGGTAATGGGATGCACTG